TTTATTAGCACTTAGGTTACCAATCACTGGGTTTGCAGAAGTGTATGTCCACAGGGAAGAAGCACGCCAACATCAGTCACTGATGGATTGTAAATCATATGGTCAGAAGCCCAAGGAGGGAATAGTATCAGAGCCGAAACTGTGAGAATCTGGTTTTGCAGAAGGCTGTGGATGACAGTGGGAGCCCAAGACACATTTGTGGGACCTTCATAGGAAATAAGCCTCCCGTGATTCCCCTTTATCCATAGTAGAGGGGCGGGAAGAAACTGCTTACCAGACAGAGTGCATTGCAGAGACGACTATCAGAGATCAACATGATAGACCTGACTTGAACAGTTTAAACCATGTCAGTTGATTTCCCCCCTCGGATGCACACGAAGCCTGATCTGGTTTTCAATGTTCTGTATTTTTGCTTTTTGTCTGTCCACATCGGGGTTAATGTCAGATGTGTCTTGTCATTCGGGTGACCCTCTTGAATTTGTTATATGCTTGTCTGTTTTTAGTATATGGAACCCAGGATTGATGAGCAAGTAGAATAATGGTTTCAGGGGGAACCGCGGTGGGGGCAGGGGTACAAGGGAGCTGATGTCCAGGAGTTCAGGAAGGAAAAGAATGTTTTGAAACTGACTGTGGTAGCGATTGCACAATACTGGATGTGATTGAAGTATGGAATGATATGATATCTGTATTGACTCCCAATAAAATCTTTAAAAACAAACAAAATTATTTACAACCTGGGAAACTCATAGGGGCAGTTCCACCTTGTCCTCTGGGGTCATTATAAGTCAGAATTGACTCAATGGCCGTGATTTTTTTTTGAGGGGCCCAGGGTCATCAGTCTGATCCTGACTGCCTTGATCCGAGGGCCCTGAAATCATTCTTATAAACTCTTATGCCCAATGTATGTGTCCAAATCTTGGTCTCCTTCCCACTTCGGTAATACTACCTGTACCTGTGATGGATTGACCGACCTCCAATCATGCATTTGTGACAGTTTCCTTTGCCCCTCCCTGTCCCTTTTAAAGTCTCCAAATCGCCGTATATGCTTCCTTGCCATTACATAACTGATACTAATAGATTCCTTCATTGGGATGATGTCCTTGTTTGTGTCTTTTCTACTCCTGCTTAAAACTTAACAAATGTTCGCTGGAAACTATGTTTGAGATTTGGGCTCCTTAAATACTATACAGCCATTGTAATCAAAAGAATGTGATATCGACAATGGAACAGATTAAAAGACCAATACAAAAGAATGAAGACTTAAGAAACAGATCCTATTATACAAGAATTTAATTTTTTAAAAAGGTTGAATATTTCTGATCAGCCTGTATAATGATATGAGAACAACTGGCTGACCATCAAAATGTTATTTCAGATTCTAAAACAAAATAAATAAAAGACATTTTAAATAAGCTAAAGACTAAAAGCCTTTTGAAAACAATACAATTTGTAGAAGAAAATCTAGAAGCCTGATAAATAATGATGGAAGTTGGCTGTCTTCCACCAGGAGTGGAAATGTAGAAGCTATAAAATGTTATGACTAAAAGATTTTAGAATTTTAAAATGTATACACATAAATGTAATTTATAATGTCTATAACTTAAACCTGAAACATAGAAAATACACCACAAAGACAATACAGGAAAAAAAGCCAAAATGAGCATGCTCTCTGGCAACACAAGTGGTAAATATACAAATAAAAGGTTAATGTCTCTCCTAATATCAAAACAATCACAAAATGACACACAACCTCCCCACTGAAAAATGCGCAAAAGCAAATTATAAGGAGGCAATTCTCCAGTGTTTTAGGGGAGAAAAGAGACCCCAGTTATAACTATAACTTAGGGACACATTTATGAAGTCAAAAATCAGATGGGAGATATTCAAGGATTCGCAGATACTCACACAGGATAAGGGCAAAGGAAACTCACAAAATAACGATTGGCCACAAATCAATCCCTGACCGTTGCAGGCAGGACCATAAATGTGCAGAAGGGAGCAGGATGCTCTGACGGGTCCAGACTGGAAGGATCCTCGGGTCCTTCTTTGTAAAAGGGTCTCAGGATGGATGCTGACAACCACGGTCATTTAATCAGTGGTTCTCAACCTTCCTCATGCCGCGACCCTTTAATACAGTTCCCCATGCTGTGGTGACCCCCAACCATAAAATTATTTTCGTTGCTACTTCATCACTGTAATTTTGATAATATTATGAACGGGGCGAACCCTGTGAAAGGGTCGTTGGACCTCTGAGTTAGTTAATTGTGCCAGCCTGGCCGATAATCACATGTGGGGCTGGTTGAAAGGCGGAGAGGGATAAATGGGTGGTGAACAGCCTCGCCTTTCGAGTTCTCGGGTCTCTTGTTTTGTGATGGTTGCACCGGGTGCAGCTGCCTTAACAGTTCCCTGCGTCAGCTTGCAAGATTGACTTCCTACAAGACATCCCCAAGGAGAAGCCACATGGACCTATCCCGATGCAGCCCTGGGTGCTGGAGCAGCCTTGTGGAGACCCCTGCTAGTGCTGAGATGCTTGTTCGTTCACTGACTCAGCTTTCCTCCTGCAGTCGGCATTATTGCCTCTGTTTTGTGAGGTGGAGGACTTTGTGGACTGGTGTTGGGTTAATGGGTTAATATTGGACTTGTGGGCTTGGGCAGCATTGGGTTGGGATGTTTTCGTGATGCACATTTTCTTTGCATAAAACTCTCTCTTATACATGAGTTGCTGTGGATTTGTTTCTCCAAAGTACCCAGACTAATACAACCTCTAAAGGGGTCGTGACCCACAGGTTGGGAACCACTGCTTTAGATAATAGAAGGGTGGGTCCCAGAGTACCACAGGGAGAGACAAAAGGGATATTGCCCAAGGTTTTTTCGCTAGTGTTGCCCCAAGCAAGGGGCCAGGGAGTGGATGTCATTGTCTCTGTCAAAGACAAGAGACCAGGTTGATTCAAGAATCTCTAAAAGTTTATTCGGAAGGCTAAGACAGAAGGAAACAGTGGAGTTTGCTACCTCCAAACTGCTTCCAAAAATCCAGCAAGTTATATATTCTAAGCTATTGCAAAACAGGTGTTGTGGGGATGTCAGGAAACAGTTAGCAGGTTTTGCAATAATCACAGGAAGCTACAGTTTTTGCAATGATCAGAAGACCCCAGATTTGCAACAAATGAACTAGGTTTTGCAATGGTCACAAGAGACCATTAATATTGAGATATTTCTCAAACCACTCTTTTCTGAAGTCTCACGTTCTATTGTTTATCTTAAAGACCTTGCTTTACAACTTTCCAGAATTAGAACATGGTGATGCTTAAAAAGTTAAGCTTAAAAGGAATTTTCACTCAAGGGAGGAGGCTGTTATAGTGCTAACAACTAAATCTTAACTTGTGTTATATTTCTAGTCTTTTGATTAACAGCAAGGTAACTGTTTCAGGTCCTCTTTTATTGGTGTCTCAAATTCCATAAAGGGAACACCCTGCCATGTTAAGGGTTTTGCTGTCCTGAGGGTGGTGTTTGAGGGGGGGGGGGCAGGGCTGGCTAGGGGAATAGTGGCAATCCAATTTCTAACCCACTCTGCCTGAGGGCAAAGCTTTTCACATTGCCAATGAAGTCAGAAAGAACTCAATGGAGGATGAATCTATTTGGAAACTCAAAATGGAACTGGGGATCCCACCATAAACCATAGCCTTCCACAAACCTAAAGCTCAGAATTTAAGCTCTCATACAATAGCATACATGAACGGTTAATAAGCCAATAGTAATGAAAGTTAAGTAACAATTAGATCACTAGACTGGCAGAAATGAAAAGAACATACACCTGGCTGGTTGGAATGGGGAGGGGGACATTTCTTTCACATACTGGTATTGAGTGTGAACTCAAATTGTGAGCTGCATATGGCAGTACCTCCTGGAATTTAACACACACCCCAATCCACCGGGGTCAACTACCAGCAGTCACTGAAAATAATGTGAATGCTTACCAGTAGGAAATGGATTTCAAAAACAAAACACAATGCTCTTTAATATGAAGGGGTTTGTTTTAATGAAGAAGCGTATAATTATACCGGTTGACAAAAAGATTTTTGTTAAAAGGGAAAAAAGCAAGATATCAAGTGTGTATAAGAATATAATTTTGTTGAATAGCAGAAAACTAAGAAAAGATGAAAAACAACACAAATGAGTGTGTATGTAAAATTATGACACCAACATATTTACTTGAGTTAAGGAAATGGGGAGAAGAGTAAAGAATGAGCAAGAGTGTGAATGGCTGGAGACAATAAACCAATGGAAGGGACCATTAGGAAATCGAAACCAATTGCTACTGAATTTGTATACCCGTGTAAAAATAAAGCTCCACCACTTGCTACACTAAGTAAACCTGACTCATAACAGACTTGTTAGTTTGGATATTAAAGAAAAAAAAGTGAATCATTAAAACCAGAATCACAGAACTTTAACCTGCAAGTTTATGGGGCAATTGTGCAGAAAGCTTCCCAGTATTGTAAGGTGGTGCCAGAAATTCCCAAATATTATCCAATCAGGGCAGCTGTCATGCAGATGAGCTTCAGCTCCAAACTCCAGTAGCCAAGCCCCTGAATGGCGAGGCATGCGTGCGAACCCTGCCTGTGGTGTTCCATCCACTCAAGCGGGACACCGTAACGCTGACCGAGTTCGGCACCAAAGATGGCGTACGGTGTGTAGCTGTTCACCTAAAAGACCCCTAAAGGGCAGCTTAATTGAGGTACAGGGGAGATTTGACCTATCCAGTGGCTGGGGCCATGTTTCCTTTGGGTTATCAGGCTGATCCTGAGAACTCAGGAAAACGCCTTAAAGCACAGAAATCAAACTAGGAAAGGAACATGTTTAAAGTATTACGATGGGCTTCAACTGGTACCAAGACCCAGGGCACAGCTGACTTTAGAACTAGTGCCTAGCTCTTTTCATGAAGCACGTAGGTGGCTCTTAAAAGAGCCGTTTGGCTATCGAAGAAACTTCCCACCAGAACTCTACTTTTTCTTAGGCGCGGCCTTTTTGGGCTTGGAAGCTTTTGGCTTGGTCACCTTTGCCTTCGCGGCTTTAGGCTTCACCGCCTTGGCTTTAGCAGGGCTCTTGGATACCTTCGCCTTGGTGACTTTAGGTTTCTTGGGGCTCTTAGCGGGCTTCCTCACCACCGCGGGCTTCTTGGCTTTCTTGGGAGTCTTGACGCTTTTCTTAGCAGCAGCACCAGATGCTTTCTTGGGCTTCTTGGCGCCTGCTGCCTTCGACTTTGCCGCCACCTTTGTGCTGCTGGCCTTCGCTTCCGCGGAGGAACCCTTCTTGTTGAGCTTGAAGGAGCCGGAGGCGCCGGTGCCCTTGGTCTGCACCAGGGTGCCCTTGTTGACCAGGCTCTTGAGGCCCAGCTTGATGCGGCTGTTGTTCTTCTCCACGTCGTAGCCGGCTGCCGCCAGCGACTTCTTCAGCGCGGCCAGGGACACGCCGCTGCGCTCCTTGGAGGAAGAAACCGCCTGCACGAGAAGCTCGGACACGGAGGGACCCGCAGGCTTCTTGGCAGCAGCGGCAGTCTTCGAGGACTTCTTAGTCGCCTTCTTGCCCGCGGGAGCTTTCTCAGGGGGCGTGGGAGCCGCCTGCGGAGCCGGCGCGGTTTCGGACATAGTGACAGCCCAAAGGAAGCGAACAAGTGGCCAGGATCTGAAGAAACTGGAGAACTCCGAAGCCGCGAGTGAGGCTTATTTATAGGGCGGGGCAGCGCCGTGATTGGTGCACGCCCGTGCCCGCCCCCAGCAACTAGAGCGCCCCCCTGTGCCGCGGTTCAGCTGCGCCGGTTTCCAAGGCGGCAGGAAGCTGAGCTGGCACGTTCCGGAGCTCGCGGGCGCGCAAGCGCACACAGACTGCCACGCCTGCCGACTCCAAACTGCGACAGAGCTGGAAACTGAAAGGCGGAATCCAGTTTTGCCGCCCAGTGACGTTACAGGGCTTCTTCCCTCCCCCAAAGTAGGCGCTTTAGTGTTTCGGTTCGGAGATAAAGAAGCAACTTAAATTTCAGTCGTAAGACACGTTCACCTCAAAGTACAAAACTCACTAACACCGGAATCAACAGCCATACGGTCAGCCTAATGTAAGATCAAATGCAATTTGCAAATTTTTGCCACACTAAAATCTACCACGCATGGATTTTCAACGTCCTTGTCAATAACTACTCGTCCCTACAACATAGGCCAGACAGGCTTAAATGTTCACAAGCTGTGTTGAGGTCGGGCCAAGCTATCGCCAGATGGTGCTTTATGTACATGCATACTGATCATTAAAAGTCAGACATCCAAGAGTTAAATGCTTAGTGTGCCATCTGTCATGAAAGGGGGAGACGACCCAGTGAGATTTTAGGGCAATTCGTCTTTAACTGGTTCCATACGTTAAAAAAAAGCATTTGAAATCCGCAAAATGCAAATCAAAGTTTGTGAACCAGAAACCAACTAATAAAAACCATTGAAACCGAAGCGTTAAATACACAATCATGCGCTGGGCACTGTTTCCACCACTCCCAGGAACACACGACTTCATTCAACAGCGCGCGGTTGGGGTTCTCAAATAGGTCCGCATTTGCCTAAGAGCCTTGGTTGTTTCAACAAACAATTCTTTAAATTTACCAGAAAACAAGCTTCTCCACCAGAGACTTCATAAGGAGCATACAATTTTTTGAGCAACAAACTTTTCCAAATAAAAACCCACTACCATTGAAAAGCGATCCTCTGGGACGGCAGCTAGGCGCCAACAGGGTTTCCGGGAGTGTTCATCTCTCAAGGAAACCAACTGCCCTCTCCCCTAGAGACTGGTAATAAACGAGGCGTCTAATCTAATGCCTCCAGCAGTATTTCACAACTAGCAGATCTGGCAGTCAACATAAAAACGGAAAAATTCCAAATGCGCTAATAAAGGGGAAGTTATCACATTGTATAATTCAAATAATGTTCTTTGCTTCCTGATTTCTTTTCATCACTCTTCACAGAACAAGGGATGGCTTCATGCAAATGAAGTGTGCTCGATCTGCTTTTTTATTGGCTGTTGAAAAGGGTGACTTTAAACCAGTAAGAAGGAATAATCTGGGCTCCGCTTAGTTTGCGGTTTTCATCATAACCAAGTAAGTGGGTTTCTCCACGACGAGCCCACCGTTTTCTCTGAGAGGGCAACGATTAGGACGGGTTGGGAACTTATTGCCGCTTGTTCTGGGGACTGTCCCTAAGAACCTGGCAGCCGCCATTTTAAGGCTTGTGTGTCCTGTCCACAGCAACAATTAGAAGGCACCTATCATCCCATGTCACTAGAAAGTGGCCTTTAGAAATTCAACAAAATGTGAAAAACCGTGTTCACGCAGGGCGAAGTTTTGCCTCCAAAGACCGAAAACTGAAACATTGGTGGAAAATAAATCCAGTCTTCTGCACTCGCAAGTACCTTTTAGGGAGTAAATGTTAAAAATACTCTTTACTTTAGCAGCCCCGTTTTTACACAAAAGAAAGTATTGCAACCTCCACGTTGATCTCACGTTGACTTGTAATTAATGTTATGCCAGATCCATTTCTCATCTAGGTTATAGAATTTAATTTTCTGGAATCTGCAATGTGGAAATTGGAAAACTTTAGCGCAATAAAAGCTACAGAAAGCATTACGGTGAGGGCGGATGCAATTTTGCCACGGATGTAGGTTCATCCTAAAGGCCGGTAAAAATTCACGATCACTTAAAGCATTACAAAAAGATTCCCTTTTATTTATGTGGGGAAAGGATAATAAGTTTCAGGAAGTTTCCAAAATTGGAGGGCGGGAGACAGGAACGGGGAATGGCGCTGGCTCGAACATAAACTCTGCCATGGAATCGATGCTGAACTGCCCCGTGTTTCCGGAATTGTAACTGCAAAAGTAGAATGCCCCGGCGCTACCACGGAGCGGTTAAGAACTGCTGACATTAAGAGTTGAACATGTAACCGCTAAGCCACCAGAGCATACCAGAAGTGAAAATTTCCCAGCATTGGAAAAATAGGCAATCCCCTCCACCCACCACCCCCAATAACTAAATGGACTTAACATAACTGGTAAAGCACAATGCATTGAAATCAGATGCTTTGCGTTCAGACCAGCAACAAGGAGAAATGTGAAGAGGAGCATAGAAAATAACCAATCAAATTGCATGATTGTTGGAAGTGGCTTTTTTTTAAATGGCCAATGAGAGCATGGCGCGCGAAGTTTAACCATTTCTCTAATCCAATCAATGAGCTCCAAGTACTATAAATACTAGCAACTGGCAGCTGGCGTTGCATCAGATCCTCTTAACTGGTTTACCCTTAAAGCATTATGGCTCGTACCAAGCAAACGGCTCGCAAGTCCACCGGCGGCAAGGCGCCGCGCAAGCAGCTGGC